ATCGTTACTACGATACTACTGCATACAATTTTGATATCTATCAATAGAACGGAAATTACCTAGGTATACTAAATGCAAACTAGGATGATCCTTGCGACACTACATTTGAAGCTTTTCATAGGGATGCGGTAAAGTTGATAGATTTTTAGTATATTTGATTTCTATAGCAAAAGTTCTCCCTTATAGTTTTATTTTTTGACGTATTCCGAACAATGTATAGAATTGTGAAGTGTTTTGTATTAGGTATATCGCAGGCTTACAACATAACTATATTTATTAGTATATAATAGATATTTGACTAAATTACAAACAACATTTATCATGTTATTAATTCATAAGTTTCAGAAAAGTAATAACACTGATATATTAATTCATTGCCTATTATTAAAATTCATACTTTAAGAATGAATGTCTACGCTATACATTTATTCATTAAATTATCGAAAACTTTTTATCGATATACCTCAACTCTAGCAAATGCAGTGTAATGAAGTAACCTTTGCACCTGTCGAAAAATTATGAATTTTTGAAAAAGAAATGCTTTTCCGCTCATTTCTTACAAAATAAACGTTAATATGGTGTTATTTTTTATTTAATTTAATGTATTTACTCAAACAAAGGTTATTCATTTAAAAGCGTGGCTTATAAAAATAGTATATGAAACACATAAATTAGTGCACGTCATTACAAAGTTATATTGTATAGATTTTTGTGAACTGTCACAGGGTTCAACCTTGATTAAATTTAGAATAGTTTAATTCAGACTGAAAGACTCCAGTTCCATATTTCTTTTATTAGTTCCAGGTCACAGTTCATATAATAAAATTGTTTCTGCATCAGTTGTACCAGTTAGATGATGTTTATTTCTGTATTTATTGAATCTTCATTTAATCAGCTATACGTGAATATCTTTCTATCGTAGCTGTAAAATTTAGTTTTAAAAAAAAAGCACTTATTTGGTGACGCATAGCCCACGTCCACCGTACCTACACGACAATTATCCACCCTAGCGGGGAGCCCTGTCGGCCGAATTTCTATAAAAACATTTAATTTTTTATAAAAATAAAACTAGTTTTTATAAATAAATAAATAATTATATAGTGGATCAGAACACAGCAAATGAGAAAAAAAGAGAAATGAATTCGACGAAACTGCATTCCGACAATTATTACGTCCTAAGGTAATCTTTACATTTGCTTTTATTTACAACTTAGTAACAGCGTTGTCTTTATTCTCACTTCCACGTTCAACGTCTTTATTTTTCTTTCCATCGAGCTCGTTGTAGATATCTTCAATGCTCCTCATCTTAGTCTCCGGTACACAGCATGCAATGTATATCGTGCTCACGATACAAACGCCGGCGAAGGTCCAGAACACGAGGAATAGACCTACCGCGTTTGCGATAGGCTGGAAGACTCTGAGAAGAATCGAGACTAGTATGCAGGCGAATGCTATTACTATTGAAGTTACCGTGCCTCGCATCTGAAAATAATTAAGTGATATTGGAGAACATGCCTTGATTATTCTAGAACCACAGTGATACATATATCAATAAAGAGACCAAATTGAAAATGACAAATTTTTTTCAGATCTGATTAGCGTATAAATTTTTTTTTTTCAAACTAACCAATGTTTCGGACTCTGTACCAGGGTCCTGATTTTGATTCAAATAGAATTCTATCCGATCAGGTAGTCTCGAAATCAGATGGGTTTCTGAGCGAGAAGATGAACCTGATTCCTACTATATCTTTCTTAGGAATGTCAAAAGTTTCCGATCGGCCAATTGTGAATCACAATTAAGCGCCTCGGTTCGGAAGAGACGCAGTTTCCGATCGGGAGAGGCAATCAATATCAATTTGCAGGTCCGATGGTCACGGCTGACTTACAAACCATGGGACCAGTAAAAACAATTTCATCGTATAGTAATCATGAAAACCCAAGGAGACAATAATAATAATAATAACGCACACACTCAACATAGCCCCGCACTAGGGAAACCCTGTGTCGCGGGTGCCATGGACACACACATAGACAACAACAAATTACACCCAAACTCACGAGAGAAATAAATGTAGGTCATACAAATATTTCGCCCGGCCCGGGAATCGAACCTGGGACCTCTGCATGGCAGTCCGGCATGGTAACCGTTCGGCCACGGAGGCAGTGTTTGACGCGCGTGCTTGTATTGAAACCTGAGCAAGCGAAGGATGCTAAGGGTCGTATTCCAGAACTCTACTCAATGCTCAAGTCAGGATTTGAGCAGACTTGAGTATGATTTGAAGCACTGGAAATACTACCCTAATGGCAAGGACTTGAGTATGATTTTCAGTGCTCATTGCAATACTCAAGTCCTGACTTGAGCATTGAGTAGAGTTCTAGAATACGACCCTAAGATTCAAAAATAGAATAGCGCGTAAAAATAGAGTAGAGCGTAGCGACGGTTTCAGGGCACGGGCCGCACAACTTTGCTGCCGAGCGAAGCACATTTTACCTCACCATAGCGAGGTAAATGGTAGATGAAAGAAAAACAGTTGAACTTTAACAAATCAGCTTTATTCATTAATAGGTACATCAAAAATTTGTTGTCGTTGTCAATTTAATGTCAACAATAATAAGAATAAAATATATAAAAAAATAAATATATAAAATACCTATGTACCAACGGATTTATATTACATAAATAATATACGACAAATTGCGTAGTTGAACTTGTCATTATTTATGTTATTTTTCATCAAAAAAAAAAGTTAGGTACACCACGGTCCATCGTCAAGCTCGAATTTCAAAAACCTTTTCCGCACGAGGGTGGAAAAAACGCTTAGTGAAGTGAAAAATTGTTTATCGACGCGATGTAGCGTTTAGTCGTGACGGCGCGCGGCGGTTGCATCGACTCGCAACGACTTCTAACGACGAAATACAGTACAGCATGCGACTAGCGACGTAACATTACCGGCGACAGACGATAGTTTAGTAAATTTAAAATGGATATAATATCAGAACTTTATTTGTTGGAAAATTCCGTTTTAAGGGGTCCGTGTTACAGTAGGGATAAGATAAAGAAGATTTAATACTCATCTAATTCTCTCTAAGAAACTGCCTCCGTGGCCGAACGGTTACCATACCGGACTGCCACGTAGAGGTCCCCGGGTTCGATTCCCGGGCCGGGAGAAATATTTGTATGGCCTACATTTATTTCTCTCGTGAGTTTGGGTGTAATTTGTGGTTGTCTATGTGTGTGTCCATGGCACCCGCGACACAGGGTTTCCCTAGTGCGGGGCTATGTTGAGTGTGTGCGTTATTATTATTATTATTAATTAATATTCTGCGGCAATTACGAACTTCATCAATTAACCTATCTGGGTCCAATATTATAATTTTAATTACTTATGTTATTACATAATATTTAATTTTTAATTTTAATTAATTATTAATACATTCCTATTATTATTAGACTATTGTCTAATAATAATAGAAACCTTAATTGATCATATAGTAGTAGTCTAGCAAGCTACTTGCGCCGACTGATCGCAAGTCTCACGACCATTGTTCGCCGGTCGCGGGCACGCTGGTGCACTAAACCATTTCGTTCTATGTACATGTTAAAACAAGTCGCAGCGAGTCGGTGCGACCGCAGTCGCGAAATATCGCCGGCACGCTGCACAAGCCATAAGGTGGCAATACTTCCTTGAACGAACTCTTTCACAAGGAACTCTACTGCTACTAAAATTTGAACATTGAAATAATTAACCAATATCAGACCTGAGTATACTGTCTACCTTTGAAGCAATTAAAATTATACTTTATCCGATTGAAGCAGTATGATTTGTAGTACAGCAAGCGCGCGTGCGCACTTTTAATGCAGCGGTTGTTGATTGGGGCGAGTGAGCGCAATGGGGCAGTCCCACATCTTTCTACATAAGTTTTGTTTATAGTGCCCCTCCCTAACAACCTCTTGGTTATGCGGGAAGGGCACTATGACCTGTGCGAGTGAGTTCACACAGGGACCACCTAATTCAAGTCCTAACCCCGGATCAGCCCGTTTGCACGGACTTCATCCGGTGCTCAGAAGGCTAATGCCTTAAGTGACCCGCCCCGGGTGCACGTACAAGACCCTCCCAACTAACGGTTGCCACCGCTGAGCCGCCGACTCTAAGTCGACCACCAGATCGCCTCATTAGTGGCGGAGCTGTAACGCACGCTCACTTCACAACGCCGAATTAACGGCGTCTCTTCAGTTCCCAAATTCTTAACAGAACCTAATCGTGTCAAATAAACATTCAACATATCCTGAAAGAACAACTGTTTCGTTATATTTCGATCTTCGTTATTTCGGACAAAAAAATTCCGACTTTGTGATAGGTTACCCCTGCGTTAATGTCCGGATATAGCTACCGACTTAAAGGGCAACTCACGTGTCCCGCGCGTCTTCTCGCGTGAGGCCCTCAACTAGACCGATACCAAGGCGCGTTAGTTGCGCGCGAGACGAACGCCCCGACCATACACCACCGGGGCAGAGGAACGTGTCCGTTCCCTGCAGCTAACCACAAACCCCGGCGAGTCCATACCCAAGTCCGGGTCCGCCAGAGACGCTCGTGAAGGTGTATGACTGGCGGACAACCGTACCAAGATCTTGCCGTCGAGCCCGTAGTCTCTCCGGAAAATTTCTCGAATCGATAGATAGGGACAAGCGCAATGGGGCAGGCAAATCAACTTATTTATATGTCCCACAGTTGGGCACGGGTCTCCTCTCAGGCGAGGGTTTAGGCCATAGTCCACCAGGCTAGTGTAACGTCCCCAATACGAGTTGGGGACGTTACACGTTTTCCGGGAATTGTGAATTCGACGTGTAGGTTTCAACACGATGTAAGGGGTAGTCTATTATCATAAAAACCAGAAATTACCTGGAAACTAAACATCTCGGTCATAATTACGAACGGCACGGGCTGCAGTCCCGCGGCATCGCAGTAAATGCAAAGGCATAGTGCCGCGATGGGCAACCACGATGCGCCGGAATAGTCCCATTGCTCCTGCGCATAGAACCACGAACCGAGAGCGGTCATTGCTACGCCCGAGATCAGGCAGGTCATGCCCAGAAGAGGCTGGAAAAGAAAAATATAGGTATTAAGTATGTGCTACAATCTTGCTATGGATTCTACCAAGAATAAATGTTCTAAAAGTTTATGGAATTGCACCTATTCGCCAAGTTATATATATTTTTTTATAATATCAAGTGACGAGACGAAAAAGTCTTGCGTCTGATGGTAAGCTACACGCATGTCCATAACAGTTGCAGTGCCACTCAGAGCTTTAAATCGCAAAGATCTGAGGGGCACTGTCACTGCGCCCGTCACCCTGAGATATAAGTTGACAAGTCCCATGTGCCTGTAATTTCACTAGCAATTCTTATTCTTCAAAACCGGAACACAGTAATGCTGACATTACTGCTTGGCGGCAGAAATAGGTAAGGAGGCTGTACTATCCTGGACGAACTTCTTTACAAGGAGCTCTACTGCTACTTAACTTGTTGTAATCAGTTAACGGAAAGTGACTGTAACTTGATAAAACTTATTCGTTCCCTAATTTTCCACCTTTGGGGTGGTGTATTTTCTTCAAATTTGGACGAGGGTAATACTGAATTACCCCCTTTCCAACAAAAAAAATCATCGAAATCGGTTCACAGGTATGCATACAGAAAAATACAGTCGAATTGAGAACCTCCTCCTTTTTCAAATCGGCTAAAAAGTACATAAACAGCACGGAAAAGATTGCAACCACATCAATAATATACCTAGATTTAATTATTATACAAAGAAACGATCTGGCAGAACTCGAACCTGTGTATTTTCCAAACCAAGGTCACCGCTCTACCAACTGAGCTACAGTGCCTCTACAATGAGCTTACAGTGACAGTTATTGCTAGCGGCCGCGTAAAATGTTTATACACAAAATGTTGTTACTTCTTGTGACCGGTAGGGGCGCTGTATTATAATTTGCTATACATAATTGTGAAGTAATTTAGAGCGGTTACAAACTTGGGATCTATAGGCGTTTAGTAGGTACACAACATTCAGGTCCTACCTATCATATAAAAGGATCATATTTAATATTGTATACCATATAACGATATACATATATATAACACTATATATGGAAATAATTATTGGAATTAAACCCAATTATAAACATCGTATTGTCATATGATATGATGCCATGAAGATCACCCCTTTGGAGTGACTCAATGTAGTTAGTATAGGAACAATTTTCAATATAGAAATAATTTTATATTAAAAAGGACAGTATTTACCTGAACCTCGATTGTTTAATTTTCCCCAACATCACGGGCGATTGCATCAATGCAATCGTGCGTTTGTATCAATGCAGTGTTTGCGTCTATACAATCGCCTGTAAATCGCACGTGTACCGATGCAAACGCGCGTTTGTGAAACTCGCTGCTGAGTGTCGCTGTGTGTAATCACTCTTACGCGATAAACTCGTGGTAAAGGCACAGATAAACTGTTCTTTGATGAAACCTTACGAATTTCAAAAAATTACTTACATATCTTTCGTATTGAGTTGAGTGGGTTTTTATCGAGAAATTAAAATTAATATACGTCGCGCTATTTTTCTAATTTAATGCAATAAATCCACTTCACCGCTTTATATCAGGACTCGTAACCGCCTTATGGTTACTGGTTAAGAGTAAAATTTAAATCGAGACGTACTATAAAATTATATCTTACGTAATTATAGCGTTCAAATTTTCAGTCTTGAAAAGCTATAACTTTATAAACACCATGACCTGTGATCCTTATCATAACTAAAGTAATCGATATTTTTTGCGAAATTGAGTTATTAACACTTTAGAAACTATGACAATAACAAATTAGACAGCTGTAGCTTTCTAATTTGTTATTTCAGCGCAAACGAGAGTTGATATTTAAAAGTGATATAAGGCCCATTTCCCTGATGAGTTGCCAGGGATGGATGACCCTTATTTCGTATCTATTTCTGGTTGTAAACTCGATGGGTGACAATAAAACTTTAGGTGTCCAATATCTCGAAAGTCACCAAAGCGAAAATGCATTAGTTATAACAAGGTGGCTGTGTCTACTTGTACTTACCTTCCGACCGATCCGTTCGACCAAAAAAGAAGCTGTACACGATCCAACAAACTGCACGACACCCAGCACAGCGGCCTGCTGATTGGCCGTAAGCACCCAGCCGTTGTTGGCCAGGCCGAAGATCGTGGATGCAAAGTGCAGGACTGCTAGGCACCCGCATAGCTCCCTTGCTAGTGTTATAGTAAGCGTTATGCGAAACGCACGGGATGTATTGCGGCACGTTACTGTAAAAAACATAAATCCCAAGCCTGGTTACAGAGCTGTGCGGATTTATCTGCGGACCGTCCGCGACGAGCACCGGAGGAACACGTGTGGCGTTAGAACATCGTTTTATAGTGACGTGGTTTGACTTGTGCGGAACACGCTCCGCGTGAACTCCGCACAAGCCACACGTGCGTGCACTAAATTAAATACTGGATTCAGAGCACTGCGGATTCTACGCATGCCGACGGCTCGCAAGTGGACAGTCCGTACCGACCTTACGCACAGCTGTGAAACTAGCCTAAAAGGCTTCATCTGCACAATAACAACTTTTTAGGAGAGAGGTTTAGAATTTTAAACCTCTCTCCTACTGGCGAACAATTAATCCACTTTGTCATTCTTAAATTTCACATATACTTGATTTCTTTCGTGGACGTCGTATTATTTTTATGACTCATTTGATAGAAACACTTTTGACGTATTATCACATTTATAATACTTTAGGGTCGTATGTTAGGTCTTCTGCATGACGAATTAATAGCACAATGATATTCCACGTGAAAACCGTACAATTTCGACTCCAATTAATTACATTGTGATACAAATACAAATGTAAATGTAATTCAAATGTGTCCCTACAATACCAAACGTACGGAAAGTGGTAGGTATACCTACTTATTATATTTTACTTTACAATAAATTCGAGAGAGAAGTAGACAATGGTAACTACTGTACTGCTAGCGTCGAGTATATAACCAGAAATAGAGACGAAGTAAGGGCCATTCATCCTTGGCAACTCATCAGGCAAATGGGCCTTATATCACTTTCAAATATCAACTCTCGTTTACGCTGAAATCACAAATTAGAATGTTGAAATAGTACAACAACTGACCTGTGTGTCCGTCTCCATATAGTTCAAAAATATTCTGTATTTATTGTAATAAAGATAAGATCTCTAACAATGAGGGGCTGTAAAAATAGCAAAACATGTTTTTTACATTCAAATTTCGAACATCTCTGAAAAACAAAACAATTTGATTGGGCCTCAATTTTTTTTTTTTTTAATTTATTGAGGCTTTGGCAAAGCCATCAGCCTAAACATGAAGTTTAATTATGTTTCTGTAAATATGGCCGCCACAAAGAGGATAGGCAATTTGAGGCGGCGTGCTTAGATTGACTCGGCATTCCTTAAAACGAGCCGATACGGGTATTTTAGTTCGAGATTCGTATAATTTCGCGTTTTAATCTTCAATTAAGGCACAATAGCACCATCCTATTCCACTTTAAACTAGATTTCACAAAATAATTGAAAGTCAAAATAAAAACGACACTTTTCCCTCCAAAAGGTCCAGAGCGAATATTGGGCCTCAATTCCAACATCAGTCGTGATGAAGTTTTATTGGAAATGAAATGTCAATAGCAAACAATTTTGACAATTTCACAGGTTACTTGATATCGAACGATATGATAGTTGGGCCGATTCTAGTTTGTCTATTAATTAAAAATAAAAACTACGGTTCACAAATTTACACGTTCGCAACCCGCTACCTGAAAAGGTGACATCATTCAAAGCAGTCATCGTATATATAACCCGAAAGAGAGGAAATGTAATTTAATTTCTTTGAAAACTATTCTGCCAAACCATTATGGTGACAACTGTGCTCCGATTGGCTAGCCCGAATTCGACACAATTAACGGGGGTCGTCAATTGTTTCACTTCAAAACAACCAGTTTAACTTAACCTTCGCTATAACGGAAAAATTTAAGAATTACATATTAACATTTAATTGCCGACGAAATGTAATTCCCTTTGTTTTGTAATTAGATGTTTTGTTGTTTTTTCCACACCACCGAATGGAACAGCCCCCATTGTTAGAGATATTATCTTTAGTACAATAAATACGAATATTTTTGGAATATACGGAGACGTACACACAAATCAGTTGTTGACGCTGTAGTATTTCAGTTTTCTAATTTGTGATTTCAGCGCAAACGAGAGTCGATATTCAAAAGTGATATAGGGTCCATTTGCCTCATGAGTTGCCAGGGATGGATGGCCCTTATTTCGTCTCTATTTCTGGTTATATACTCGATGACTTTTCTGGACGAACTCTTTCACAAGGCACTCTACTGCTATAAGAACACTTTGCTGTAAAGGTAACCCTGAATAACCTACAATTATATAGATATTGGTAACATCGTTGACCGAAACAATATTATTACAAAAGGTGCGGTTAACCGTTACCAACTTGCCGCGCGTTGAAGTAACTGCTAATAGTATGTAAACACTAAAGAGCAACGGTACCAGAAGTGTGCCTTGTTGTACGCGTGTTTGTTTTGCCCTTTGAGGTTACTTCACGTCTAGGCATTTTGTGATAATGGAAAAGTTTGTAGGTCATGCTTTGTAAATACAGTAAGATCATATATTTTACGTACCTAAGCATCTTTAAGGTTATTGACAATAATTGTCTAGACATTAAGTATCTTAAATATTAAATAAAATTTTCAAGCGTTAAGGAGATAAATCTTACCTAAACTGCGAAGATTAGTAAAGAACTGATCAGTTTTGTTGTTTTCGAGCTCCAGGAGTAAAATCTGGATCTCATCGTCTACCGCCGCGTCTGAGGCCTGTCGACACCGCAGCCACGCCAGGGCGTCACGAGCTTTCTATAGATGTAACAGATATTCAAAGTATTTATTGTTTTTTATATGTTACTTGGTGGTCTTAAAATTAAAACAATATTCAAAAATATATAACACCACGAACAATAAATATTAGTAACTTCGCCTTGCCGCTAGTTGGCGTTAGGATCGACCTAGTTGTTGGATGTTTTCAGCTGTTATGTGTTTATATTTTTTTTGCGATTTTCTTTGCAAACTAGCTTATAAAATTTAATATTATTTTCACCTCACTAGCTCGGGAAGGCTTTCTTTCTCATTAGAAATATGCGCGCAAAAGCGTTTTTGAAAATAAAGGTTTTTGAAATTTCGAACTTGATGATGGACTGTGGTGCACCTAACTTTTTCTTTCGATGACAAAAAAAGACAATGACACGTTCAATTACTTATTTAATTATTGACATTAAATTTACAATGATAACTAATTGCGTTTATTAAATTATTTTAATTCGTCGATAAACTAAAATAATTTCAATAATCATGTGATAGGTAAGACCTAATCACACAAAATAAAAGTACAAAGCAAGAATAAGAATTGATGAGGTGTAAATTCAGAACGCATCCGACGATAAACTTTATAAATTGACTCACGAAGGAATTTAGAATTTAGAATTTCATGCAAAAATAAGAGACTCTTAGAAATAATTGTAACGTATTCAATCTTAATAAATATTATAAACAGTACGAAAAAATTCTAAAACGAACAATGGTTTCTCGTAGGCTTAGCGCCTACGAGAAACCATCACGTAAAAGAAACACAGAATTCTGAAAATGTAACAAAATCAATGTGGAAAATAATAAAAGAACGCGCAAACAAAAATACAAAACAAATTAAAGAAAATATTCAATTGACGATACACAACAATCTTGCTTCTGATCCGAAACAAGTAGCAAAATATATTTAACTATTATTTTGCATCGGTGGTTAACAGCACCGGGAGCGCGCCGAGGGCCCGGCCTAATATGCTTAAACCTACCCACAATGCTTACGCCCGGTTCGGAGAGCCAACAGCTCGAGCAATCAGTGTATGTCTGGCGACTGCTTGACTGCACGATTAAATTTCACCGCACTGCAAACCGCTTGAAGCAATCTAGATTCAAGCAACTGCTCGAGCGGTTTGATGTATGTGTGTACATAGAAGACTGTAGTTTGCTACGTGGTCATATCTTGAAGCAGTCGATACTAAGCTGCTTCAAGCTGCACGTGTACGGCCGGCCTAGCAACTACCGCCCTGTTGCACTATTAGCCATGAGTAAGCGCCTATATTCCTTTTGCGAGAACTATAACAAACATCCTTGATGAATCGCAATATGGATTCCGTAGAAACCGGTCGACTTATCTAATAATAATAATCTTGCGGCTTACAAGTTAGTACAACAAAATATAAACATATGAAACGATAAAAATATGCTATTGCTGTCTTGCTCGACATGTCGAAGGCGCACGATAGGGTACAATACAAAATATTATTAGAAAAATTATACGGAATGGGCGTAAGGGGACACGCAAATGGTTCGAATTATATCTACTAAACGGAGGAGAATGTGTTGAAATTCAAAATTTTAATCATCTATCGGGCAACATAATTCGTGGTAAATCTAACGTACGGACAACGGTACATCAGAATACACATTTTTGTTCGAAAATCGCCTCCAGTGCAACGGAACAAAATACGTCAATGTGTAGCTAGATGTGCTGGCGTGTGTACATACAACAAATGCAAAACTCAATCCCCCAGGGAAGTATGACTGGTTGTCTGTTATTCTTTTACACATTTATGCTTTTTATGCTTGAACATTTATGCTTGAAGCTGAACGGGCGCAGAGAATGATCTTAAAAATTTGTAATTTTAAGCCTCGACTATATCCTACATCAATCTTATACGAGGAATGTGGGGTTCTAACAGTAAGGCAATTGTTTATTTTGACTTCTGTTGTCAGGCAACACCACCATGTTGAGTACCCCATGGAAAAGGGGAACAAAAACAGTAGAAGAGAGGACATGGTTTGTAAACCTTTTAAAGGTAAAACCGCTTTCATAAACAAATTTTTTATATACTTGGGTGGTAGACTCTATAATAGGGTCAACAAATTCTGTCATATCTACTCAAAAACTATATGCAACTAAATGTCAGTAAATGTAATCACATAAAATTCACCAAAAATAAAAATTTTGTTAGATCTTCTTACTATATTGATGGTCAAGTGGTAGCAGAGGTAAACCAGGTGCGGGATTTAGGCGTCACTCTGGACAAAAAGCTGAGTTATGTGGCTCATTATGAACACATTACAGCGCAGGCCTTTAAAATGTTGGGTTTCATAAAAAGAAATTCAAAGTGCTTCAAAAATATCAAGACATTAATCTCCTTATACAACTCCCTTGTTCGTAGTGGCATTGAGTTTGCAAGCGTCGTATGGAACCCCACTTACCAGGTGCACATTGATTACATCGAACGCGTACAAAAAGTATTTACACGGTATCTAGCTTTTAGGGCCCCTAGCTTTAGTCACAAAAATGAATACCAGCAACGATTGAAACACTTCAATCTTGATTCACTGTTGAATCGAAGAGGCATAAATGACCAGGTTTTCCTCTACAAGTTGCTGCGGGGGTGTATGGATTGTCCGGAAGTATTATCGAGAATCGCACATACTGTTCCGCGTCCCAACTCAAGAAGGCAACTTAGCAATCCTTTTCATGTGCCCTTTTCCAGGACAAATTTAATGAGCCATTCCCCAGTGTCCAGAATGCTTTCCAACTACAATATCCTGAATAGTCGCGCAAACCTGGATATATATTTTGACAGTTTATCCCGTCATAAAGACAAAGTAGTAGCGGCCTACTCATCAGATATTGACAATTAAATTTCAGTGCTCTAAAATTACAAATTGTTATCTATAAAATCTTAAAGAATATATTTTTTAAATTGCATATAAATAATTATTACATGTATATTTTTAATAGAATAATTTATTAATAGTTCATTTTATTTTTTTAAATTGTGGTAATGTTTTTCTTTCTTTTTAAATGATGTTTTAATATGATTATGTGAATGATGTGTTCGGCTGTAATTGGCTTACAGACTAGTCTTACATAAATATAAAATGTAGATTTAAAAATGTTAAGTGTGTTAAGCTGTTGCTGAACCAATAAATAAATAAATAAATAAATAAATAAATAAATAAATAAATAAATAAATAAAAACACAAAGAGAATGCAAATGGGTTGTTTCGAGCTGGCTTCAAAAACTGAACTACGAGAAGACAGAAGATTTACTAGTGTCTTCTGCTGTATAAAGACATGCATGCACACACACATGCACACACTCACTCACACACACATAAAACCTACCCACTCATCTATGTAATTTTTGTTTTGTATTGTAGTTTTGAACGATTTTTGTTTAGTCTTTTATTATTTATTTTGTTATCTCTGTGCCTTACGTCATTTTCGA